AACACTGTGGAGTTATACGCGACTTAGCCGTTCAACGTTGATAGATAATCCGAGTCGAGGTCTACATCAAAATGACTTACTTGAGATGTTAGAAATGGACTTCGCATAAGCGGGAGGCCCCCTACAATAAAGACAATGACAGCTTCGAAAACGGAGAGTGTAGGCTAGTGATAAAAGAGAAGAAAATAAAAAGCAGAGACGAAACAATGAGGGCATAGGTACGCGTGAAAGGAAAAAGAAAATGAAACTAATACCACATAATCACTTATAACTCAGTTCACACTAATGATCCAGTACTAGCGCTAAATTAACCTTGTATTATAATGCCCACGATTGAGAAAAGCCAGCAGCCACAGGTAAAAACTGACTACCATCAAAGACTAATGCTTCTGAAAAGCATCGTATAGCAGTGCTTTGCGTAGTTACTTTGAAATGGTAAAGGTCAACATCCTGAGTCCACAGTCTCTACCCGTACCACAAACATTACATAATATGAAGCTGAGGCAAGCCTTAAACTGAAAGCATCAAAGCATCCCTGTGCCCTTGCAACAAGTGCATTACGTAAGACGGGCTCGGCTGGGAGTTACCTCTCGGTACCATTGCCCATTTATGGATACCCGGGTCGCTTTGACAACGGCCATCGGGTACATCGTTCACAGCTGAAGAGGTGATACAAGCTATACGGTCGGTGCCTGCACATAACCGACACGCTGGGAACCCGCCTGGGGGCAATCCCTGGCGTCCCAGTGGTTATGTGTGGGACAGTTCCTCCCACCCGCGCCGGTGTTCCGGTCGTAACAGAGCCGACTCATTGTTAGCAGAATTGCATACCTGCTGCTGCCGCCAGTTCAGGGCAATGGAACGGCCTCAGCCCCCCGAGGCCGTGGCGACAATGGAGGTGTCACATGTTCGCACCATTGTGCTGAGGCCACGTTCAACGGACGCCGGTTACACCACCGTTTGCAATATGGAATACTGACCAGGGAAGTCCAGACTGTGGCAGATAAAAACGTTAAAAAATCGGCCTGTGGGTTAGAGACCCGTATCAGCGAGCAGCCAACCTCACTAACAAGAAGACTATGAGCTGAATAGAGACAGTCTATTTAACATAAGCAAGCTCTCGCATTTAGGGAGATCCTCACTTAAGATCCTGAGCCATGCTCAAGCCCAGTACGAGATGGGTCTTCGTCTGCCAAAGCAATTAGCAATATTAAAGCCTCGAGACCCGTGAGACTGGGACTTCACCCTGACTGGTAGCAGCAAACAGCTAATGCTAACGCTACCGGTTTTGTCGAGTCATGGCCGGTTAACTTGTGAGTCATCCTGTTTGAATTTCAAGCGATCCTGGTCAGAGTCGCGCCACTCCTATACCGTGTGCTACAGTCAACATGTGGAGTGAGTTTGTAAGTGCATATATCTATATCCGGTGCAGTTATTTGCTGTCTGTGAACACCAGCGAAGAGCACCGTACACCAAAAGCAGCGGCGGTATGGGACCGTACTACGCGGACGGAAAGCGGCAACTCTCACGTGACGGGTTAGATAACTGGTTCGGCAGTTACATAACTGGTGCCGAATCACGATCACCGTTCAGCGTGTGGGTACATAAAACGCTCATAAAACAGTTATACTGGCGATAAAGCATGATATAAAGCTATTTACTTTGCACCATACCAAAGCTGCTTGTGAACTTTCATCCACCAGCAGAACATTCAGTCCAAATTGGCGCCTGCCCTGGACGCAGCTGTCAGCGTTTTCGCACAGCGACCTCGCATTCATCTCAGTGCGAATCGTTCGCTCCAAGGCCGGGCTCGACCCTCTACTCACAGCCACAGATCACACGTGCCAGGTGACACGTGGCTCCAATAGCACGTGCCAGCGCCGCGTGCTGGACCGCCTGGACAAAGGCCTTGGTGATGGCGCCGGGTTATGTCATCGAACCGCCTACGTCACCGCGTTGTGACGTCATCAGCGGCGTCGGCGCTCTATGAAGCCATCGTCAGGCAAAGCGAAGCCCCGTCTTGAGTGAAGCCCCGGTAGCGCGGTTCACCGCGATTTTCGGCGACATCTGATGCATTAACATTCAGTCAGCCTGATGCAATATTCCGCGCCAAAGCTGGTCGTCAGGTTTGCATGTATAAGATCGGCTAACTATGCACTATTCATGGCCCGACTGCTGCCGGGTGGCCACTGCCACACACCAGGCTCTGATCCCAGCGATGGGGACGTCAGAGCCTGGCGTAGAGACCGGCGGGGCCTGCCACTGAGGCCCGAAAAGCTAGCTGCTGGAACCAATAGCGTCAGATTCAGGGCCCAGCAAGGCTTACCGTCGGTGCCAGGTCAGACGCTTTGACCAGCAGGGCCAGGTGCTGGGAGCAATATAGGGTCAGGTGCTGAAGATCAAGCAGGACCAGACGCTACAGACCAGATCAGCTCAAACATTGGGGCGAGTGGAGCCAGACGCTGGGGTGAGCCGGGCCAGGTGCTGTGCTGGGGCCAGCGCCCTCCGGTGAGTCATCGTCTGTGAGTGGACTGACCCAGCAGCTGCACAAAGGATCACCGTGCACGCCGCACCGTACTGACCCCACCGCGCACGGCTCGATAAGGTACAGCGACGGGTGAGTAACACAGGCGAGAGAGGAAACGGGTCACTATACCGCACTACGGTCAGCAAGGCACTGACAGAAAAGGTACCGGATCCGTAGAACGACAAGGTAAAATAATATCAGGATGTCAGACAAAGCGAGTTATCGATAAGAAGAAATAAATTATTAAGCGCTAAGCCGTGCTCACCCTTGTTTTTACGATTCTTTTGGAGTTCGAACTCTCGTCTGAGAGTGGCTCACCAAAGTGGATTATCGCCCGGCATCTGCAGCATTATACCCGAGAACAGGTTTTAATGCGGAAGGACGGCGAACAACGCACTGCAACGGCTGCAATCTGGCGCTCTGAACAGCAGACTCGACACGCCACAGACCACTGCGCCGAGCGGGGGCCCGGCGAAATGCAAAAACGCACCCAGAGGCGGCTGCCCAGCCCAACAGCGATCGTGTACCGAGCGAGGTCGAGGCCTGTATACCGGATCTGTAAGCCCCCTCGAGACGAGTTCAATCACCAACAGCGGTAGAATTCAAGGTTAAAGTGACCGGCTGGAATGCCACAGGATATCGACCTGTAAATACAGTAGTTAAGCCAAAGCTGTACCTTCATTGACTCAGGGTTGGACAGTTCAAACGAAGTGGAACAGGTTTCCGCGCCGATTGTTTTTGCATGTGTTTTTAGCCATCTCAGGCAGATTCCGTGTCTACGATAGTTTGACTTAGACAGTCACTGACATTTGGACGCTCTTTCTCCGTCAGTCTGACCTCTCCTCCCCAGGTCTGACCCCTTCAATCCCAGTCTGACCAGACCTCTCGGCCGCTACCAAAGCGTGCTTTGATCCGGAACGGCCACGGTTCACTGCGACCGTGTGAGGCACTACCCGCTCTGCAGAAAATAGAGGCCTGTCCAGTGTCAACGCCGGCTGTTATTCTAGCACTCGTGATGAGGTCAGTGGCCGCGGTGCCACGAGGTCATTGGCTAGCTAAGGTCAGGTCACTTGGTTATTGGCTACCGCGGGTCAGGTCACCGGGTCACTGGATACCGGGGGTCAACAATGGGACAGGGCTTACAGTGAGTGCCGTGGGATACGTTCCCTACTTGTACTGTGAACAGTCACTCAGCCGGTGATAACGCATGTCAGGTCACCAGGTCAGTAGGTACTGCAGGGTCAAACAAGCCCGCTACACGGTACACGTACAGAGGAAATGAGGCTGCCACCCGGACCGGCATGCGACGTCCGAGAACAATGCCTCTGATGTAACGCGTCCCGCGCCGCGCCGCCCAAGTGCTGATGAGGACAACGCAACACCGCCGAACCGCGGCTGAAGGACGAGTTACACAGTGCGCCAGTCAGCCAATATGAGGCTGAAATGGTGATAACTGATATTGTGTACGGCTGACCTTTACAGAGCACGATCTAAAACGGCACTATATCTCAAGTTGAGCCCTGAGCTCCTCATGTCTTTTCTTGAAACTCCAGCCTATCTCGTAGTCTGAAACTGACAACACACAAATACGCCACTGCAATATTGGGCAGCTCGGCGTCATTATGGTCCCGCAGTGGCCGAGTCGGTCCCAGCTGTGGCCACAGCCGGTGACCGGTGGACCATGGAGGCGGCCGTCCGGTCCGGCGCGCCGCCTGGGAGTCTAACCACCAGCCGTGCGGCCGCGGCCGGCTCAGCGCCGAGCTATGGCCGGTCTGTGGGGAGCCGCAGCGTGCAGGGCCCTGACCGAGCGCACAACGGCTGGGAGTGGGCTGACCCGCGCGGCGGAGCGTGGAGGGCCGCTCGGCGGGACCGGGCCGGCGGGCAACGCCCCTCCGGACATATCGCGAGGAATAACACCGTCCGGGCTCAGACAATAATAAAAACGAGACAACGTTAGGACGTTATCGTCTTCTACTTATAGAATGCTGCTGATGCAGCCGAAGCAGACCACAGCAGCCAGGACAAATGGACGAGACCTGAAGGAAAGTCCAGAACCAGAACATGGTCTTGAACCGCGTGACAAACTAACAAGCCTTTCGCCGTATTCGCCACTTTTTCAGAATTAACAAATGAAGAGTGGAGTGGTTACTGGTTAGGTCATAAAGTTGTGAGATCCCAGCGGTTTGAGTTCCCATCCCATCCATAAAGTTGTGTGATCCATCCATCCCATCAGGGGACCATATCCGGTTTGCGGGATTGCACCTTAGTCAGCGCTCTTACTTTACAACATATTCCAAAACTCGGTACTCGGTACTCTGTACTGGGTACTCGGTACTCGGTACTCGGTAACGGTTACTCTGTACTGGGTATTATGTACTGGGTACTCTGTACAGGGTACTCTCCACTCAGTAATGGCTACTCCGCACTCAGTAATGGTTACTCGGTACTCGGTACTCGGTATACGGGTACTCACGCCGCTCGCTGTCGAGGTGCAGACGCTGCAGCAGGCCCCGCGGCTGGTTGTCGTACACGACCAGCGCGCTGGCGTTGGCTCGCAGCGCGTTCTCCAGCTTCACGTCGGGCGTGCACCGGCCGTAGGTGACCAGGGCCACCCACGGCTCGTCCGCCGGGGCCACCGGCTCCCAGGGCCAGTCGCAGCCGTCGTGAGACGACCCGTTGGCGGCCCGCACATGGACCAGACGGCCGGCAGCCACCGCCACCAGCCCGTTCGAGTACTTGCCGATCTCTCCGCTGTGGTAGTTGAGCTCGCTCGAGACGGGGTTGTGGTAGGTGACGTTCACGAATGTCATCACGTACTCATTGTCCTGAGTGATCCAGTCCGAGCGAATTTGGTGTGCCTGCGCGTGCACACTGGATGCCAGCGCCAGCGCCAGCAGGAGGTGACTTGTGAGCGGCCCGCGGCCCGTCACTGACCGTCCCGACTTCCCCATGGTGCTCGGTGACCACTGACACACTGCGCGGGCTCCGCGAGGCACTGTTGTCCCGGCGGCCGGCCGCCAGCGTCTGTCGCCCGCCGGCCGACCGGCCGGCTACCTGGCCCTGCCGGCTCCGCATTGATCCCGTGACGTCAGCACGGGAACAGCTGACTGCAAGGTCGGCGCGGCCGCCGGCGGCGCCTCAGGCTCGACAACGCACACGGGGAATGTCCGCGGACAGCGGGGAGAGGGTCGGAACACAGACCCCCGGGCCGCGGTAGCCTGTCGAGATGGGGTCTATTTGATATCAGATTGATCAACAGCTGGTTGGGCTGAGGATGACGTGTAGCGGTTCTGATGGCTACAGGAAATACCCCTCCGAGTGATGTTGACGATTCAAATTGAAAAAATCAAACTGTTGGACTTACCCAAATTCCGGGTAAGGAGCCTGCCAGAGATGTTGAGATCATCAAATTTCTCAAAATATGATACATTTCTCTGAGCTTCAACTAAAATGCATTAAACTGGCCGCCATTTCAGGCCCTTTTCTGTGATATTATATGTAAGTACATCACCGCTCGGCACGATATTAGACAATCAGCGCGATTAATTGACGCCAGCTAGCCGACCGATTGGCTGATCCACGCTTAATTTTTCCTCGAACTCTTGAACAGAAGGCATTAGACGATATAATAAAAAAGTAATTTCAATCGGATGCCTGCAAATGTATCCAATCATTTGAAGTCAGATAATTTAAAAAGTGTCTTAAATGTCCTAATCTAAGACACGATAGTTGATAGCGCGGTGGTCTTATCGTAAACTCATCAAGGCGAAGGATTACTTTCAAACCTACCACTAATTTGGCTCCCGATCAACGTATAGGTGCAGGTGAGCGGTAAGTAACGTTTTATGGTTGCTAAACATCGGTAATTAAACACTGCGGTCCTTTTTATTTCAGGTCAAAGATCAAATTGTCCCAACTCGAAATTGTCCCGACCAAAGCCAAATGTCCCGACTCTGTTTTTATTAGTAAAAAGACTTAACGTGTGAATGCATAGAAATAAAATAAGATAGAAAACAACTAATGGCCCTCTTTAAAACTCTTTCAATGTCTCATATTTGACCTCAGGCTGCCTCCTAGCCCCTAGGTGAAGACAAAACGATGTTTTGTGTTAAAAAGGTGAAGAAATTAAAACCAAATATTTAATTCATCGGGCAAGTAATTGAAAAGCTGGGTCGACTCAAAACAGATTGTCTTTAAACTGGCTGAAACATGTTCTTTTATTGAACAAGCATTTTGTTATAGTATTTTGTTTCTTAGCCTTTCATCAAAGGTCAAACAAGCAACTCTTTTCGCCTCATCTCGGAGTTGCACTACGCCTACAAAATGGAGTTCATTCCGTAAGAGCTCGTGTTCGCCGCTGGCTCTGCCCCTGCGTGCATATACCTCCGCCGGAGGGAAGTGTGCCGGAAGCTGCAGATAGCGCGCTGGAAGTAGGACATCCGGCTGCGGAGGAACGGATATGACGTGGAAGGAGCGCCACGGTGTGCTCCAGAAGTGTTCAGTGTCCACCTGGTGAGTCATAGTCCCAGAGTCATAGAGTCAGGCGACAGGAGAGTTTCAGAGAGGTGGTGAAAGCGTGGTGAAGGCCAGCTGAGATGTCGGGTGTTGCAAACAAACGAGCTGATTGCCAATGGAAGTAGAGCACAGCTGAATTGCAAGCATGCAGATGATTGGATATTGTTACATAGAACGAGTCACTGTACATAATACGAATAGAATGAGTGTTTGTTTTAACGATTGTGTGCATACTTTCAATTAAGTTTATTGAGGGATACGAATAAATGGTCACGTTCTGCAAAATTAAATTTCTAGCTAAATACATTTTGTGTCTTGTGTCAAGTTAATTTACATAAGCTAAGGTGATTAAAGCACACTATCTGCAGATAAAAAAAAATCCTGATAACTCATTTTCTGAGAATGAGACGAGTAATAAAAGGAGCTTGGCATAACTATCCAGCCTCTCCGATCTGGGCACCTTTTTCCAAACTTCCTCGAATCGCGGAGCGCTAACTGCGCTGGGAATTGGCTCCATTGAGCGGCGGCACAGCACAGTGAGCTGGTCTTTATCCCGAGTATCGACACGCGCTCTGTGGGTTCACTGTTCGGTATGGGGAGCCCACTGTCGGTGGGAGGACGGCGCTCACTGCAGAGTAACTTTGCCGTCCGTCCTCCTCCACCCACGCGCCGGCGAGCTCAGCCAGACCGATCGATCCACTCAGCGCTGCACCCACGCCCGCGGTTATTTGTCCGTAGATGTAACCTCTTAGTGTGGAGAAAACAGACTGAAGTGAAATCATAAGGCCTCTACTTTTTCATTAATGCTGATTAAAAAGTTCGAAAATATAACAATGCGATACTCTGAATGTTTAAATATTGTCTCCTCACACTTCTTGTGGCTTGGCTTAAGGAAAGTAAAAAAAATCTATTCATTATGCCTAACATCATAAGTTGCGACTAACTTGATTAACTACGGTAATTAGTTTAATGTACATGCAAAATTATCTAAATTTATTCAAGAGAGTTAAATCCTCAACCAATGCATGTTTTATACTTTCGCGTTGAATTGGCGTTAACCCGCGCCCCGTAGGGCTACCGGCGGACCCTACCACCCGTAGAGGGGGGGGGGGCCGTTTCGGCCCCCCCCTAAGATCTCGGAAAGTTACCGGCCGATTTTCAAAATTCAAACGGCGTTCGATAGCCCCACCCGGGAACTATCTTGTGACCAAATTTCATTGACCTAGGTCAAACCGATGACGTCACAGGTCAGGTCAAAGGTCAGATTTTCACCGTTCACAGGCAATTCAAGAAATGTGCTGTGAAAGCGAGTAAATTGGTAATTTATTGAAAACCATCGATGGTACATTGTTCGTCAAACACATACTTTGCTATCTGAGGTCACTGATACCAGGTCAGGTCACAGCGAGGTCAGGTCACCGGGGGTCACAATATGAATGTGTCGTGTGATACATGTTTTATGGTCCATTTTACATGACAAATGCGATTATGTGGGTTAGGCAGCCTTTGGGGCCAGCCTAGGTCACTTTTTGGTGAAGGTCAGGTCAAGGTCAAGTCAAATTAGGTCAAATTTCAAAGTTGATATTTTTGCATAAAATGGGTATCGATTCGATGCAGCTCGTCACGGGGAGATTAATGGTGGTCTTCGTTTTGCTCTACGAGTTCTAGAATTGCCAAAAATTGAGTTTGAAAATTTGACGTCATCATTTTTGAACAGTTTTTTCGCTATAACTTGGCCAAAAAACGAGGTATCGATCTGAAATTTGGTATGTAGATAGAAGACGGTAGGCACTATCACATATATTCCGGTTTTTTTGAAACTCAAAAAACTTTTTGGATTTTTCGGCGAATATATCCAAAAAAATGCTTTTTTGATTTTTGGGGGTCAAAACTCAAAAATTTCAAAAATTTGAGATGGCAGTTTTGTAGCCCTGTCAATTCTACACCTTTTATGACTTGATCATTTTTCTGTATCTTCAAAGCTGTAGTCCTAACAGGTCTTCTCGCGAAGGTCTTTTTTCGGTCGAAAATGACAGAACATGACGTCACTCTGACGTCATTTGTGGCCAACCTATCATAGCCTCTGGTAAAATTTTTGGTCACAATGTGTAAAATTGATGCCCGGAGGGGTACTGAAAGTTTGGTGGCGATATCTCCAGCCGTTTAGGAGATATCGACCGAAAAGGACAGGGGGGCCGTTTCGGCCCCCCCCCTACGGGGCGCGGGTTAAAGCAGTTTGCTCTTGCAGATCGAAGTAGGGCAGGGGCGTTCTCCTGCTTTTCCTGACCCGTAACGAGAAACGATAAGCGGATTGGTATTATCACACAAAACATTGAAAGTACATCAGCCATTTTAACCTAGATCAAATGCCAGGTCACGTCATTTTAATTTCCGGAAAGTCTGCGTGGAACGGTGTAAAAACACCCATCACCGTGGCAGCCAGGGTAAAATTAAAAGATCCGTATATAGAATATCAGATACAGTATCGCAAATGGAATAGAGTTCCTACAAAGCCCTTGCCTCGGAGTTCAGACTGTCATTCTTCAAACAAATGTCAAAGGGCGTCAACCAATAACCTTTTTTATAAGCCCGCGTCAGTGTCCAACGAAGGTAATATTCTGTTCTGTGAAAGGACCGCCCCTGTACCCACGGGGCTGCGGTACGTAGAAATTGTCAGCCTGACATAGGATACCGCGTGTCAATATTGATGGACAGAAGTGCGGCATGTGGTTACTAAAGGTCGGCTGCAGATTCTAGTGCACAGAAGGCGCACCTATATAGCAGCGTTTATTATGCGTGTTTGACATTCCTAGCCGGCGGACATAAAGAATTTGGACATGTACCGACATACTGAGGTTCAGATATCTTGGACACTAGTACCTAGATATTTCTTGAGCATGTACATATAGCATGCAGGGATATTATATTAACCCTCGCCGGACCTATTGGTTTTCTACATACGCGCCGGCCGAGGGAGGGGGCGGGTACGACCCCCCCCCCCCTCTCGCCGTTTCGCCCCTGGTGGAGCTAGCGCGTCGCGGAGACAAACGAGCGTGTGCGCCGTTACGAGACGCAGAGATTGTTACCCGATTTTAAGGTCCTAGGTCAACCGGTGACCTCTGAGCCGTCTGAGGTCAGGTCAAGTGCCCCAATGTACGGTTCAGTTTTTGGTGAATAACTTCGCAAAAAATGGCCGCAGAGCCGCGATTTTGGCAGCATCGTGTTCGCATAGCTCAGGCGCGTCGAATGATATACTTTTGTTCGGGTCAGGTCAACTTAGGGTGTTGACCTCAGGTCAAGGTCAGGTCAGCACCCCCAGGTCACGAAGTTGGTCGAAAGAGGTCATGTCGCATATCATTCGATTCGGCAGGTCTTCCTGAGTCCATTGGTGGCTTTTCCGACTCGCTAGCTCAATTTGATCAAGAGTTAATGACGAAAAATGAATATGACCTTGATGACGTCATAAATGACGTCACGCAAGGACAACATTGCAAAAGTGACGCATCTAACCTTGCAAGGAGTGCATCAAATCACGATTCTGTGTGCTTGAGATAGTTGGAGATCGTTCCCGGCGCCAGAATAGCAGTTTTCATTTTCCCCATTGACTTATACATAATGGTGAGGTCACGAAAATGACCTGACCTCATATGACCTTTAGGAAAAATCCGAGATATCCAAACTGTGAGACTCATAATGGATACTAGA